GGACTTGACTTGACACTTTTCAGTCTTGACTTGGATTCGACTCGGACTTTGCCTATTTTGCCTTGAGACTCGATTCGGACTTGAGTGCAAAGACTTGAGACTTGCTTGTGACTTGCAAAGCAATGACTTGGTCCCACCTCTGATAGAAAGGTAACCACAACAATTGTCACTGTTAATTTTTTTTTTTTTTTTTTAATGCTCCTTCATGCTCACCATTTGGCAATGAAACAAAGTTCATCATTCTAATCTGTTGGTTCTCAATCGGGATGTCCGATAATATGGGCCGACCGATATTATTGGCCTGATATTTAGCATAATTATGTCATATTCATAGAATTGTTATCATTTGGCAATGAAACAAAGTTCATCATTCTAATCTGTTGGTTCTCAATCGGGATGTCCGATAATATGGGCCGACCGATATTATTAGCCTGATATTAGCATAATTATGTCATATTCGTAGAATTGTTATCATTTTTTTTCACTCAATTCGTTACATGGTACAATATGTGAGGTTCGCCTGCCTGTTCTTGTTCATAACCAACAGTATAATTTGTGTGTGTGTGTGAGTGTGTTTACCAACTGCTCTGTTGAACAGTAAAAACAGGTTAGGACTAATCGACCCCGTGTGGTCTGACAGTGCAGCATTGATTTTCCTGTTAGTCACGCATGTGGACTGTTGTTGGGGTGCATTAGTACCATTGTGTCTTCCTGCATTTAACCCTTCAGTGAGAGAAACGTGGAACATGGAATTACATACATACATGTAATACATGGAATTATACATGGAATTATAATTACAAGCTGCAGCTCAACTTACCATCTTACAATCGCGATTTAAGCCAATTCAAGCTAAATAATAATAATAAAAAAATGTGCTGATATTAAACTACGACTTATTAGCAAACTTATTTTGCTACAAGTCCTGCTATCGTTACGTAAAAACATGCGCTCCTCGGAACATCATCTAAAAAGAACTGTGATGAAATGTAATGTTGTCATACTTGCCAAAGTGATGAATGAATAACATTTCACTAACCTTTAACCACTTCAAATATATGCCAAATCTCAATCATGATCCTTACACTAACTCTAATTTGACCCTTATTCCAATCCTAAATTGAAAACTTTTTTTTTCCAATCCTAAATTGAAAATGTACATTTTTTGTTTTCAGTGTTTTCGTGGAGAATTAAAAACAACGGCCTCCTTTTCGATATTATCATCAGGTTTTCTATATTAGGTCATTATACACTGCTTTCAACGAATCCTTTTTTTTTTTTTTTTTTTTTTGCCAGACTTGTTAAATACTTACAGCATTGGACAATATGCTACGTTACGTTTTTTTTTCATTCATTCCAGCTCCTCCCATCCCCCGCAATGGCCCCCCGGCCCTCCTAAGGGGGTGCACCCCCTATTTTGGAAACCCCTGGCCTTTCCTCTAACCTTAACTTGTACAATGAAATGCATAATCCCAATCTATACCTTAACTCTGATGTAAGGGCCCCCCCTAATATAGCTGTACTAGAAAAACACACTTATGATGTCACTTCTTTTCTTTTCTGATCTAATCAAGGCATTGATGTTGCCTTGATGTTTCCACCTGTCGTGTCCTCTCTCAATGCTTGATCACACTGAGTCTTTTCATTCATGCTTCAGTGGCTCGACCACAACCTAAATGCAGCATTTATCAGCCATTTGGCCCACAGCTATAATTAAACCATATGGTAGCTGTGCATATATCACATGCGCTAACACTAACAGATGGATGAATTTCTGTTTTTTTTGTTTTTTGTTTTTTGTTTTTTTTTTTCCCAAAGGCAGATGGGTGCTCCTGCAGGGACAGTGTTTTATGATCCAATGTGATTTGTTGGATACATCAGGAATATTTTTAAAAAAAAATTTTTGACATCACTCCACTTTTGTGATGGCTTCAAGAGTTAATGTGGTAAATTAACCCACAGTTTAAATGTTGAACTCTACACAGCTGATATACAAATAGCATGTTTTTACTGGACTATAAGTCGCTCCGGAGCCAAAAAAATGCATAAGGAAGAAGAAAAAAAAAAAACATATATAAGTCGCTCCGGAGTGTTTGTCGCACCAGCCAGCTAGAGCGTCCTCTAGCTGGCCACTACAGAGCTGAACTTTGAACTTTGAACTTTTTACATTTTATTTGCTCATCAGCTACTTCACCTGCCTTTGCAGTCTACCGCTAGCTAAACTGCAGGTTTCGTTTATATCTTGCACATTTATCAGCTAGCTTTCCAGACCTTTTATTATTGTTTTGCACAGGTTTATAACATGGATACGATCCCTAAATAAACCAAGTGGTTTATTGGTTTTGTTGTTGTTCATCATCATCTGTTGATGTGATTAATTTTTCTAGGTTTTTTATTTAAGTTTTTTTTTTTTTTTACATATTTGACGAAGGGCTTGCAGTTTCTATTGTCCTTCTTAATATCTTTAACACCACATGTAGTATGTGATTGGTTTATTTCTATAATGTAGCTGTGGCAAAAAAAAAAACAAAAACAAAAAGCAACATTTTTGACAATTTTTTCTTATCATTCGATATACTGTATTTCATCTGCCGGGCATTGACTTGTTACCATTAGTCGTCTCGACGTATTAAAAGTACATTGATGACCTTGTGCGTCTTTCCTGTTTTTAAATCTCCTGTGATCTCTGTCCCCTTCAGATTTCAACTATAACACAGATGGATATGAGGGAGACGGGCCAGAAGACGGGAAGTCCCAGGATGGATCAGAGACATTGCCCTATATAGATGAATCGCCCACCATGTCGCCCCAGCTGTGCTTGCCGCAAGGTCCTGACGGGGAAAGCACTCCCCCCACGCCTGGGGTAAGAGAACACTTGTACTTGTACACATTATTTCATGTTGTCGGACAATGGGGGGGGAAAAAATGGGTCATGTGATGACTGATCGCTGCTCACATGTGAGGCACACCTCCAGGATGGTTTAGGAAATCCTTGAGTTTTCAAGGCGGAGCGAGAGAATTGTAAGAATGTGTTGACATCATAATAGAAAACGTATTCTTTTCGTTATAGTGTAATGGAACTAAAATAAAAATCAATTGTTTGCATAGGTGGATGGATATCATCAACAGGTTATGTTTTGTGGTTTCTCAGCAGCGCGTTTTGTCCGTTGACTTATCGATCAAAATGTCCTCCACCTTGAACTTCTTGTATGTGGAAATGGCTAATTTAATATATACAAGTATAGGTTTGTCTCTGCAGATTAAAACACACGTTTCATTCTTTTGCTAAGTAGTGTACTTTTTAAATTTGTCTTCTACTACGTCGTTCACTACCTGGACCAGTTTTTACTGGTCACCACCGGTATTATTTTTGCAGCTCTCTGTAAATGTCCTGAAATTTCCAGTCATTTTTGCACATAAATGGCAATGACGTAAAGAGATGATAATCTTTCACCAAGTTTGCCGGTGGTGACGTAAAGCGTTTCAGGTTTTTTAAAGTTTTTTGTTTTGTTTTTTTCCACTAGATTTTATAATATTTTAAAGCCATTAGATTATTTGTACTCCTCTATTAGAACAAGCAACATCTTATTAAAAAGGACAATTTTACCTCTGATGGAGAATTTAAAGCGGTTAATGCACACAAATTTGTCATAGGGTTAACTACATTCCTCTGCACCACGTCGTCACGTTTGTCTGACTGTGAAATAATTGACTCCTTTTGTGTCTGTCAATGCGACAACATGCGACAAATTGCAATCTTTTAATTGACAGACTTCATCTTTCAGCCTATTTTTATATATATATATTTTTTTCATATAACATAATAACGTCTAATAAGACTTCAAATTATCTCATGTTTTGGAAGCAACCCATCCAGAATCTGTGGAAAATAGTTCTAAAGTACATTAGTTGTGCAGACAGGAATTACACCTCAGAACGGTTTGCCTGAGAGGGCCTCTCCTTTGAGGGCCTCTGATAAATGTCTCTCTTTTTTTTTTTTTTAGGTTGCCCAAAATCACATTGTGTTTATGCAAAACCACTGTGCCCATATTAATAATAACACATTAATAATTGTCAATTTAATTGCTTACATCACCCTGTGCTGTTTAGCTCAAATGAAAATGAAAATGTGTCTCCATCTAGTGTCAGAATTCAGTCAGTGGCAGCATTTAAGTCGGAACATAAGAGGCAAGGATAGAGTTATAACAGTTTTTTCTGTCCAGGAACTGAATATGATTTAAGTTTATTGATGGGACTCAGCAATACAGACAGAGCAAGTATATTTAAATACAAAAAAAAAATTATTATCACTATAGTGCCTTTTCACTATATCTTCATGACTAGTCAGTTTTTACTCTTCTCGTATAATGTAATTACTGAATACTTTACTATATGGAAAAAAAAAAAAGTGAAAATATTTTCTGTGGTCCAACTCTGTTTAAGATCTGTTCTCCGCTTGGATCCTTGTGATGTTATCCTTGCTTCTACCTGACCCTGTCATAAAAGCGATGTCAGGGTCAGTGTATGACACATCCATGCAATGTTTTTTTTTTTAAATTATTTATTTAACAGAGTTAGAGACTCAATAATAATATAATGGTCTAATGTATAAAAACAACAACTGTAACTCTACATACAGGTGGTGTAAATGGCAATTTACAAGAGCAGTTTTCGTGGGCGGCCAAGGGATGGGGAAATCAAATACTTTTTAACATTAGAATTAAAACTGATTTTTATTTTTTAGTTGCTAAAACACTGAAACCCTAATAAGTCCTATAACAATGTGGAAAAAACGAATGTCGATTTCACTAAATGTTGATACCGTCTGTGTAACAAAAATTATTCAAATCAAATTATGGCGAACTCGGCCTTACTCTTATGACTCGTAAGGCCGCATTTGGAATGCGGGCCGTGAGTTTGACACCATATGTGACAAAATTGGAATGAATTCTATAACATTTTTTTTTTTTTTTTTTTTTATGAGAGTAGAACTACTTGATTGAGCAGCAGTTACACTTTAAGTGGAACTTCCTGTAAAGTTGGATGTATGTAGGGATCAGAGAAGTTGCGGTGAGCAAATGAGCTCCAACGTGACACTTTGGTCACTGTCCTTAATTCCTACTCCGTTATCTTGGGATGCGAATTTTCCCTCACACCCGGTTTCGCCGCTGTGGACCGGTGAACTGCGCTAGTACCTGTAACTGGAATCGTTTTTTTTTTTTTTTTAGGTTGCCCAAAATCACATTGTGTTTATGCAAAAACCACTGTGCCCATTTTAATAATAACACATTAATAATTGTCAATTTAATTGCTTGCATCGCCCTGTGCTGTTTTTGCTCAAATGGAAATGAAAATGTGTCTCCATCTAGTGTCAGAATTCAGTCAGTGGCAGCATTTAAGTCGGAACATAAGAGGCAAGGATAGAGTTATAACAGTTTTTTCTGTCCAGGAACTGAATATGATTTAAGTTTATTGATGGGACTCAGCAATACAGACAGAGCAAGTATATTTAAATACAAAAAAAAAATTATTATCACTATAGTGCCTTTTCACTATATCTTCATGACTAGTCAGTTTTTACTCTTCTCGTATAATGTAATTACTGAATACTTTACTATATGGAAAAAAAAAAAAGTGAAAATATTTTCTGTGGTCCAACTCTGTTTAAGATCTGTTCTCCGCTTGGATCCTTGTGATGTTATCCTTGCTTCTACCTGACCCTGTCATAAAAGCGATGTCAGGGTCAGTGTATGACACATCCATGCAATGTTTTTTTTTTTAAATTATTTATTTAACAGAGTTAGAGACTCAATAATAATATAATGGTCTAATGTATAAAAACAACAACTGTAACTCTACATACAGGTGGTGTAAATGGCAATTTACAAGAGCAGTTTTCGTGGGCGGCCAAGGGATGGGGAAATCAAATACTTTTTAACATTAGAATTAAAACTGATTTTTATTTTTTACTTGGTAAAACACTGAAACAAGGTAAAACCCTATTTAAGTCCTATAACAATGTGAAAAATGAATGTCGATTTCACTAAATGTTGATACCTCTGTGTAATAAAAATTATTCAAATTTAAAATTATGGCGAACTCGGCCTTACTCTTATGACTCGTAAGGCCGCATTTGGAATGCGGGCCGTGAGTTTGACACCATATGTGACAAAATTGGAATGAATTCTATAACATTTTTTTTTTTTTTTTTTTTTTTTTATGAGAGTAGAACTACTTGATTGAGCAGCAGTTACACTTTAAGTGGAACTTCCTGTAAAGTTGGATGTATGTAGGGATCAGAGAAGTTGCGGTGAGCAAATGAGCTCCAACGTGACACTTTGGTCACTGTCCTTAATTCCTACTCCGTTATCTTGGGATGCGAATTTTCCCTCACACCCGGTTTCGCCGCTGTGGACCGGTGAACTGCGCTAGTACCTGTAACTGGAATCGTCAGCAGTGTGTTAGCCATGTTCTCAGCTCAACGATCAAGGCTCCCAGCGGATCAATAAAGAGAAAATTGCCAGAGGGGAGGAGGAAACTTATGAGACTTGCATCAGACAGTGGTGTAAGAACACAAAAAGGGAAGTAAGCTGTGCAAAACAAATAAAACATACTTATAAATATATATAAATATATATATAAATATATATAAATATATAAATATATATATAAATATATATATAAATATATATAAATCGATGACAAAAAAAAGAGTGAGGCACAAAGGAAAGTGAACCTTGTAGTCAGAAGTGACTGGAGAGCATTCGTTGTGAAGGGGGGGGGGGGAAGCTACAAGAGAGGCAAACCCTCATCGACCGTAGACACACACACACACATATTAACAGAGTAGCCACACACCAGGAAGCCCCGGCAGAGGAAGGGGTGGGGTTGTGTAGGCGGGGTCCTCTTTCTCTCTCTCTCTCTCTCTCTCTCTCTCTCTCTCACTCGGTGTCCAGGCGACTTGATCTGAGCAGAAAGCACCCTTGTGTTCAGGCAAGACCTGACGAGGGGGGATTCACAGGCTGATAGAGGAGAGAAGGATCAGACAGGAGAGGGGGCGGCCGGGTCGGGGGGGGGGGTAAAAAACAGGAATTATGGAGGAGGAAGAGGAGGAGGCGCTCTGCTACTTGGACAAAGTGCTGGAGGAGGAGGAGGAGGAGGAGGAAGAGCAGGGCTTGTTTGAATATGGGGAGTTGGATCCCATCACGCCGTTACATAGACACTTTAAGGTGAGACAGCGCGCCGGGTTCACGGGAAAACACACACACACGTACGTTCAGTCATGTCAGCAGACACTTTTGAGATGCTTTTGAGAGCGTGACCAGAATAGGAAGCTGTAGGTAGCGCAGAGTGCGAACTGTCCCAATTGTGTTGGCTTCAACTGCTGCGGCGTTTTCCTCCATGTGGAAATAGATAGATAGAATGATAGATAGATAGATAGAACTTTATTGATCCCTCGAGGAAATCAGAGCACACTGTGTCTGCGTCAAAGTCGCAGCCATCGGCGGTCCCTCAGCTGATCTTCCACTTTTTTCTGTTTCACATCGCCAGTTCTGCTTATGGTAAAACGTACAGCGTGTATGTTCAAGCGGACAGAAACAGTCGCTCTACTCCGGCCTCTGCTCTTTATAGTTTTATACTTTTGAAGAAGTCCACGTGAGCAGGCTTCGTAAAGGAGAACTCTTTTATTATATCTGCCCAGATATCCACACAGTAGCTCTTTGTACTGCAGAGGGGGAAAAAAAAAAAAAAAAAAACCCTCTGCCTTTATAGGAAAAAAATAGTTTTCCCTTTCTGACTTCTTTTTTTTTTTTTAATCCCTCTTCTGTGCTGTATTCATCATTTAGACCGCAGTCTCATACATTCACTAATAAATGTGCTAATTCTTGGAAGTCGGGGGTTCAGGGTAAGTGCAAGCATCCCAGTACAGAGTTTGGTAGGTGTAAAAAAAAAAAAAAAAAAAAGAAGGGAAGTGTCAAGTTTAAGGAGTTTAAAATACAAAGTGTTTTCCTTAAGAGAATGTGACCTTCCTTTGGCACCGGGCCTGGTAAAACTGACCTTTCAGTTTGTTGTGAGGGACCTTTAGAATTTGAGGTTGATGCCAGAATTCCTTTGACATTTTCACACTCACGCTGTGGAGACCTGTTGTGAATCCAGATGATTTGATTCGAGGGTTTTATTTATTAAAGTTCTGACCAGTCTTAAAACAGCAGTCCTGACTCCTTTTGACACTAACAGTCAAAGAAATTAGTGCATCCTAATGTTTGACCTCACTGAGATAAGTAAGATGTCAGGACGTGGAGGACGTCCGCACGGACGAATCAGTGTAAAAAAAACGCCTTTGCGTTTTGGCTTAAATTGCATTACGTCCGCACGGACGAATCAGTGTAAAAAACGCGTGTAAAAAACAGTGTAAAAAACCTTTGCGTTTTGGCTTAAATTGGTGGTAAGAGTTAATACGTTATAACGCATAAAAATTTTTTTTTTTTTTTTGGCTATACTACATACATATAATTCGTATTGTAAATTAAGAAAAGATACTTCAGATTTGTACTTTTTTATTATATTTTGGGACAAATAACGGACCACTTACTGTTATTACAGTTATCGTCATTACTGGCTTGCATGTTTTGTTTTGTGTTTGTGTTTGTATGTAGTTAAAGAAATTCTAATGCCTACAGCATACCATATACGCACCCTACTGTATATGTACAGTGCACACACATATATGTGCACATATATATTTGCATATATATCTAAATATATATACATATACGTAATATAAACATTTATATGTATATATGAATATCTGTGTGTATATGTACAGTACATGTATGTACTGTGTTAATGTATGTAAATATATGTCTATATAGAGAGAGTGTGGTTTATGTACACTGAATGCGTAGTAAATACGTACTATTGTATACAGTCTAAAAGAATATTATGGTGTCAGTAAGGGGGGGTGCCAGTCGTCGTTGTGCTTTAACGATGACTGGCATCCTGGTAACGATGAGGTCACGGCTCCTTGTCTGCATAGCCAGGCGTAGCCAATAATCTGATAACTCTCTGTGGATCTTGTCGGTGTTAATAATTCATTTTTGCTTTCTGCTCCACGTGCACACGTGGCGCTCGAGTGTCACGTGGACCGACGCGGTTGGACTAGCAGTTTATTGGTGTGTTTAATGGCACTTCGTCGTGAGGGCAAAGAGTGAAAGTCTACTTGCTGTGCTCCCATAATAAGGACATTGAACTTCATTGCATTTAGCTAAATAGGGAGGCGCGTTTGGGCCCCCTTTACATTTCGACTCTCAGGAATCACCAACTTTTGGAAACGGAGAGCTACTTCGAGGGCGCCTAGTACTACAAATAGCTACTTGTTTGATACAGTAAAATAATCACACACAAAAAAAAAACTAATGCTGCTGCGTCAAGTTCTGGGACATATCAGTACAATTTTTGACCCTTTTGTTGACTAGTTTTAATTTTAGAACATCCAACATGGCCACCTAAGGTGGTCTATGGGGGCTACCTGGTGCACCAAACCTGACCCCCTGTCCTACAGTGTTGTCAGATTATAGATTAGATTAAGCATTAATTTTTGTCCAACCTGTCTGCATTAAATTATACTATATGTGCTTACTAGTGTCTTTATGAAAAAGATGTAATTATAAGACAGAAAATTGAACGAGAAAAATGACAAGAATCTTAATAAAAAATAAATTAAGTCAATCACATAGAATATAATTACATTATACTAATTATAGAACCAAATATTTGCATTTCTATATTTAAGTAGCTATTTATATAGAACCAACCATTGATCCCCCCCCCAGGGAATTGTTTATATTATTTAAATACTCAATTCTGATCCATACCAAATGTTTATTTTATTTGTTGAAGTATTTGTCTAATTCGATGTGGCCACATTTAAAACATCTATTGTTTTTGCTTTGTGTATTTTATCTTCAAAATACAATGACGTACACAAAAGGAGCTTATGCTAAATGTTCACTGACCGTTAAAAAAAAAGATGAAATAAACGACACGATCGCCCTCGCGCTGTATGTTTACATACGAGAAGTATAAAGCAAGTGTCAAACTCAAGGCCCGGGGGCCCCAAATACGGGCCGTCCTGTAAGTTTGCATGGCCTGCGGGAGCTTAAATAGCATTTAATAAAGACCATGCAGTTTGAGTTTATTAACCTGATTTTCTTTTTTTTTTTTTGTTATACAGCAATGATCAATATTTTTGATTCCATTGATCCACTGATAGCCGAACCCGCGTCGTACTTGTAAACAATTGATTGCAAATGACATTTAACATCTTACCAATTCAATTCAATTAGGAAACATTGATAAGACATTGCATTGAAATGTACATGTTACAGAGAAATACAGAAACGTACAAAATACTTGGGAGACATTTAAATTGATTTTACCTCTCAGTTCTCTATATCCATTATTAAAAAGATTTCTTGGAAGTTTCAAGAAAAGTTGACCACCCGATACCTTCGCACACAACGTTGTAACTTTGATGTTCCATTTTCTTTAATTTCTTCAAAAAGTTTTTTTTTAAATTTCTTCCTAGTGCAGAGTTTTGTGTATTCTCCATGGTTAATCCGGCTATATTTTATATTAAGATGTCATGGTTAATAACAGTTTGTTTTTGTTTTTTTTCCTAGTATTCAAAGCAGGTAAATCCCTTAGCATATTTAAAACATTTTTTTAAAGTGAAATCAATATATATAAAAAAAACACGTAACAACTTGATTTTATGGTCTTTTTGAGTGGCATGCATTCAATTCAGGTCTGTCATTTTTATTTTTTTTTTATTTTATTTTTTTTGCAGGGCGACATAGAGAAAGGTCTTGAAATGAAGAAACTGGTGCTGTCTGGTTTCTTGGCCAGTGAAGAGATCTACATTAACCAGCTGGAGGCCCTTTTACTGGTAAGTCTCTTACACAGGCACACAAACACATTCTTTTTATTCAAGGACGTTTGCGACGCTTTTTCTACTGTAATGTGTTGCAATGCTGCTGCTCTATCAGTTGTTGCAAAGCTGTTCAAACCACCAAACCTCTGACGCTAGTTCGGGGTGGTACTAAAAATAGGACCACAGTCATAGACGTCTGGTGCTTCTCTGTTCTGAGCATCTGCTCAAGCAAGTTTGATCGTGTTACACTCTCACCTAGTTGCAGTCTCATCGAATACATTTTGAAGACAACCGACCAGAAAGGTCATACGACCCGGGTTAAGGTGAACTCTAAATAAAACAATAATTAAAAAAGGAAAACAGTGTGTCTTTTAGTTCCATCTCCTTCAGCCATGAAGGCACACCTGGTTATTCAACAGTTTAACCAATAGTTTTTCTGTCTCTTTCCACTTCCTCCGTCACTGAAAAAAAATATCTGAATGTTAACAATCTGCTCATGTTTTGGTGTTTACCAATAAGCATTAAGTTATTTTTCCTTTTTTTTTAGGTGGATAACACAGTGATGTTTTTTTTAAAATAAAGTTTACTCCATCGGGAGGCACTGTGATTTTTTTGGGAAATCATTCAGTCTCCTCTCCTCTCCCCTCCTCTCGTCGTTCCCCTTTCCTCCTAGTTTAATTTCGACAGATTGGTCATCACATAACTTATACCTAATCCTCCTTGCGAATGTACTGGTACAGGTCGCTACACGCTTTGAGGAGGGCAGCGGCTAATGAGCCATTATCTGCTCCCACTTTCCAGGACCCAAAAAAAAAAAAAGTTTCCAATATCCATTCTCTACGTTTTTTTTTCCGTCTCAGCCGATGCGTCCCCTGAAAGCCACCGCCACCACCTCACAGCCGGTGCTGACCATTCAGCAGATAAAAACAATCTTCTACAAGATTCAGGACATCTTCGAGATCCACAAGGAATTCTACGACGCCCTCCTCCCCAACATTCAACAGTGGGATGAGAAGGTCACCGTGGGCCATTTGTTCCAGAAGCTGGTGAGTCTAAGTACACCACACTACACTGCATTTTACCCAGCGCTTATACATAGTATATCACGTACTGTTATGTTATGTATTGTTATGGCGGTTCTGGCATAAGGAACGTGAACTACAAACCTGAAGCCTTCCAGACCCAAGTCCGCTTCCTTAACCACTAGGCCGACCACTGCCCCCTAACATAAATGAATGCCAATTTCAATACAGCGCTCCCTCATTTATCGCGGTAGATAGGTTCCAAGGCCTGCCGCGAGAACTGAATTTCCACGAAGTAGCGACACCATATTTATGCGCGGTGAAATGATGACGAGGAAGGTGATGATGACTTTCACCGCGCAGCCGACGATTGATTTTACGTCTCTCCACAGGGTGGTGCCGTTTCTTGGGGCCCACCTCTATCACGGTTTCCCGAAGGTGTATCCGTAATAGTAGCAGGAACTGGCTCTTTTTTTTTTTTGCGAGGCTGCAAAAACGTTGTGATCGTCGAAGAGTAGCTTGTAGTCATTACGTCGTGGATTTTGTTAGCAAAATTGGACCGATCGAACCACCATCGTCATCATCATCCCATTCTTGTGACATCTCTTGCAGATGCAAAAACCCGGGATACATTATATTTTACATACAGTTTCCAAAAAAACCTGCGAAGTCGTGAATCCGCGAAATAGCGAGGGACTGTACTGTATTACTGAAGTACTATGCAATACTGTAGTGCTGTTGTCAAAGCTGGCTATTTCCCCATTCCGGGACGAATAGAGGACTTCTTATTTTATCTCGCCTCATCTCGTTGATAGTCAATTTTATTCAAAAATGGTGAAAAATGTGTGAAATCAAAAGTACCATTTAGAACTTTTTCAACGTTTGTTAAACACCTGAGAGACGAGTATTAAAATGAGTTCTGTTGTCAATTTATATACATATATATTTTTCACACGTCAATGCACACGTAACACGAATTACATCATGCAAAAGACAGCGTTAACTCTTAAGAATATCTGTATGTGGTTAGTGCAGTAATCCAGACAGGGTATTAGCTGTGCAGGAAGACATTACTCAAGAGGAAGCAACATTTTTTTCCATGTGCTTTCAGATGTTTAATGGTCTGTGTTTATGAAGATTTTGTCTCGTTTTTCACTCATTCACTCATTCAGTCGCACGGTTTTGTGAGCAGCAGCAGTTTATCCATTTTTGACTTCCCCCCAGGAGTCACACAATCAAGTGACACCTATTAGTGTAGTCAAACATGGGTGCGCTGAACCAGCTGAACATGAAGTCAGGGTGCAGATGGCAGAGGAATTAGCAGTTCCTTGTCATCGACAGCGTGAAGGCATTTGGCAAGACACGGAGCAGCAAGCGGAGAAATGAATCAAAAATGTTGACTTTACTGTGTTTTTCCAATCTGGAGGAATCGTTAACCGTTACATTTCCAATTGCCCGGAGCACAAATAGTGAAATAAAGTCTCACGATTCAAAAGTCTCCTGCACCTGCACCTTTAAAAA